AGGGATTATAATGCCTGTGCAACATCAGTTTTTATGAGTGTTAGTAGATGCATAAGACCTTCTTAGGTTTACGTTTTATTCAATCAACTTCTGTATATAGCCTTCCTGCTCATCCCTGAGTTTTCTTTGTTGATATCTTTAGTTGTTTTATGGAGTACTTCATTTTGGTTGTTTCAAATAGAATTTTTGTGTCACACTTGATACTGATAGACATTTGGAGGCATATCTCATGTACGAAACTCTTATGTGCTGCATGTCATGTCTAAAACTGTATCTCCTTTTTAAGTATATTGAACACTATGTATGTACAATGTACATGTATACACAGTTCACTTTAATGTCTTGTTCATTAGGTTTCTTTTCATTAAGTTTGATTTACAATTTAATAATTTATATATTATCTGTATTTATGGCAGATAGTGAAGGTTTTGGAATTTATTGGGAAGAAAGAAGGACTTCAGCTCCCAGCAGGATTTGCTGCCCGCATAGCAGAAAAGTCAAACAGAAGCCTCAGAAGGGCGATATTATCATTTGAGACTTGTCGTGTTCAACAGTTAAGCTCTTTGACATCCTCATGTTCCATTCAACTACTTATATCAATGTGTCTGTATCCATTCCGAAACTTAGTGCTGAAACCTCAGATTGTTTTTTGCCATTGAAGGTATCCCTTTACAAACAACCAAGCAGTACCTCCAATGGACTGGGAGGAATATGTTGCAGAGATTGCATCAGACATAATGAAGGAACAGAGCCCTAAAAGGTTGAGTTCTGGTTCATCTTAATGCAAAGCATTGAATAAAATATACAACCTTTTGACTATGATGACTGGAACTTTTTTAAATTTCCAAGTGATGACTATATATTATATTGAAGTTGGAAAAATACTTTTATCCCTTCTCTTATATTTTACTGTCAAGATGTGCCTTCTGTTTCCTCAAGTTGTGTTTGGTCCATTTATATAGGGGGTCAAATTGCAACTTGGTAGTCTATCTTTCAGTGTTTGATACAACTTTTTCTGAATATGAGTAACTTTAAATGGAAAACAGTGTTGCATAAGATTAAAGATATAAAACTTATAAAAATTTTACTCCATATTAAAGATGCTGATTGCTGGGTTAAAACATAAATGTTCAAGTACAGGAAAACAAAATAACTGTGAAAGAAAACCAGATATTACTACCTAGTTTTTCCTTTTGAAACTTCACAGTGCATGAAGTCATGTCAGTGTCAACTTGTGTGAAATGCTCTACTTGCTTCATAAATAGAATTCATTATATACTTTTAAGCTTTACTAACTTATACTGCATCCAGTTACTTTCCTCTTTTCTAATGTTAGGTTCTTTATCACAGGCTGTTTCAGGTTCGAGGAAAGCTCTATGAACTACTTTCTAATTGTATTCCTCCTGACATTATTTTAAAGGTGATTCTCATCCGTGCCCTTCTGCCTCTTTTCCTTTTCAAGTAATGAAAATAGAATTTGTCAGTTCAATAGAGGATATGCTTTTAATTTCAGCGGCTTCTTTTTGAGCTCCTGAAGAAATTGGATTCTGAGTTGAAGCATGAGGTCTGCCATTGGGCTGCATATTATGTAAGTTACTGTTCCGACCAATGGGATCTGTTGGTCTGTCTTCTGCACCATACTGTTCTATATTTAGATCTGTCTCAATCTGTTGTGCACAGAACAGTACTACTTCTTGGTGTCTAGTAATGGTGCATTCCAATTTCCTCATGTTTGCCTAAATTATAAATTAAAATGATTACTTCCATGAACACTTATTATTGAAGTCCAAGTAGGAGTTCCACAAACCGATTGAGAAAAGAGGTCAGGTGACATTCTCTATTCTAATCATTATACACTAGTGGTTTCACACCCACCCGCAACTCCCCCCCCCCCCCCAACCCAAAAAAAAAAATAATAATAATAATAAATTCTATGTGAAGCTGGTTTGCTTTTGCCTCTTGTTCATTTGAAATGTTATATCAAGAAGTAATTAAGTTTTCAGTTATTTCTCTCTTGTCATATGGCCATCCCTTTTTTAAAAATAATAGTTCCAATCTTTCAGGAACATAGGATGCACTTAGGACAGAAGGCGATATTTCACCTTGAAGGTACTTCATCCACATTTCCAATACTCTTTATACATGTTTTTTTTTTTTTTGGTTATACTTGGTTTAAATTGCTTGGAAAAAAAGAAGAAGCTTTGAACTGTCCCTTCTTTTCTCTTTTTTATATCTTTCTCTAGCCACTTTGTCTTTGACTCGTCTTAAGTATATCTATTCACTGCATATCTTATTACAAGGATGATGGTATTTACTACTGTATTTTAATTGTTACCCAATACCCAGTGCCCTATCAAATATTTTCTTATGATTCTTGCTAAGCATTGCCTAGAGTTTCCAATTTTGATGCTTTAATTACTTATTCCTGGTTGATCTTGCAGCATTTGTGGCCAAGTTTATGAGCATTTACAAAAATTTCCTCGTTGCAACCTTTGGATGAAGTGGAGAATGCCCGAGGCGGCGAGGCCTGCAGATCTAAACTGTGAATGTAGTTGGTACAATTTTTGCCATCAACGATGCAGTTGCCCAAATTTCTGGATTTCTTTCAACTCTTTGTTCTTTAGTTAGTTAAACAATCTGATTGAGTGACAGCAACTAGAAAATTCACTGTCTTCTCCCTTCTGATCTGTGTGTTTATCTATATAGCTTCTTGCAGAGCTTAATGCTCTGAATCAATTATATACACCACAAGAATTCTGGTCTCGGAACAACTGTAATTTGGAGCAAAAACCTTGAAAAAACAACCTATTGACTTCACCAAAAGTTGCTTGGCAGACGAGGAGCAGAATTATCCAATGAAACAGGCGTTCGATAATATCTCCAGTTCCTGTGTATTTTCAACTTAACAGCAGGAACCTTGCGTACAATAGCCTGCCAGACCATTTGGGCAGCATCATTCCCCCTTGAAGGGTACAAATACTCGAATAAGGGTTCTACCTCTTGTAGCCTACTCCACATTCTAGTTCACTCTTCTTTCCCAATGCCTCTGATCATGTTTAAGAGGAAGTTTTCTTTGGGGGAGTCCGAGGTGCGAACAAATACACAGAACTCTGAGTAGTCAAGAACATCTTTGTATGGAAGCTGTATTTCGTCATTGATGATGACTGGAACACAGTGGCTGGCAATGCCATCAAACAGGCGGTTTGATGGAGTGCACTAATGTTTAGGCAAAATTTGGAGGTGTGCATCCCTTGGGTTGCATGTTTTATGCCATCCTTCTGAATGTTCCCAAATGCAAAGTGCACATCTTTCTCGTTTTTTAGCATGTAGAATAACTCCTGCCTAACAAATCCACCCTGAGGATAAGAGAATAGGATTAGACAATGGTATAGGCCGTCTAAGATTTTAAGTTCAAGTCGTGTGAATGAAGTAACAAGTAGTGAAATAAATTAAATGTGGGTAAAAACAAGAAGCATATTTGTACAAATGAACTTACCAAGGGATTTTTAAACAACCTTTAGGTCACTAAAAATCTAATCAACTATATGGTTTATTCGTATTTATTTGTACAAGCGGTCTTCGTAACGAGTGAAATGAGTCTCAAGTGTAGTCTTTATAAAATTACATTTTGAAAGTAGTAATTATGGAAAAAAAAGTCAAATATTTTCACATGAGAATATAAGACACAATCTCACAACATATGAAATATGTAGAAAGGGAAAAATTACTATACCCAAATATCAACATGCGCTTTGGATTTGGGTCCACAAAATAATTTGTCCCGCTTGGGAGGGGGTGGGAGTAAATTTTTTAAAATTAAATACCTTCTCCTCCTTTAATTTGTCTGTCTATGTTTCCAGCTTATGCTCGCTAGTGGTTTAATGCTTTCCTTCTAAGGATGCGAGCTGCAGTCTAGCCGTCTAGGGAATGTCTGATCGAGATAGATAGTCATAGTGTAATTATGAATTTTAATGGCCTTAAAAGATGTTTGTCTTCTTTGGGCATTGTAAATGTTTGTTTTGATGTCAATGCTTTTAGTTTCTACTTTTAACTCTTTATCTATATGTTTCCTGTTGTTGATATGTTATATGCGATTATCACAAAGATGCCTTTCTTTCTTAATTTCATTCCTGAATGCAACTAAGCAGTAGTTTCATCAGTTTACATGGGTGAAATTGCTATGCGGATCCGATCCGAAAAGAAAGCTTCTTTCATGACCTATTGGATGATGTTGCCATGATATCCTGTCATCTGCTAACACATTATTGTTTTTGCCATGAATCTTGTCTAAAAGAAGTACATCACATTAGTTGTTTCCATGAAATCTTGTCTAGAAGAAGTGCATTTTAGAGTTAGGGTCTTTTCCACTTGTAGACCCACTTCTTTAATCACTCTATGTCAAACGCCATATCCTAATATTAAGTCACCACCCTTGGTCAGATGTGTTTAAAAATACTGAATCTTGGCCTGTACCGTTCAATTAAGCATCCCTATGAATGTAGGTGGTGGAAAGGACCCAAATCCAAACTGAACCTAAATCTGGGGTTTACACATTATATCTTTTTGTGCACATTTTTTGTTACAGGTTGGCTAGGAAATCCGAGTTTGTTACTTAGTTGCATCTATCAATTTCTTGCTATCGGGTTTTCTTGTAGTTTTGTGTTAGCTTGAGCGCACACTTTGGAGGATTGATTCAACCACAAATATAAATTATTGTAGACAATTTACTTTTTTTTTTTTCTTTCAATTTTGAGTGAACTTCACTTGGTAAAAGACGAGACAATTAGATTGATCCGTGCCTATATGTATGAGAACTGAGAATAGCCTTTTTCTATTTTTTTTTTCCTACTAATCTCTACTCATGACTCATTACATAGTATCTTTCTGTAGACTATAGTAAATAGATCACTCCATAAGATGTTTGAAAATTTCTATCCTACACTCTTGAGCGTATTGTTTACCCTAGTAGCTTTCTGTAGCATGGCCAATGATGTTACTTCTTGATCTAAAAGTATTTCTTCAATCAATTGTTTTTAAGTATCTTTGCCTTGTCTTTTTGTATTGATGTGATAAATGCTTTTTAACAGTACTAGGGGTCGTTTGTTAGTCCTCTGCCTTGAGCATATTCAAAATTCTGATTGTTGTTCCATAGCATTTTTTATTTTTCGATGGTTGGATCATCTTGCCATTCGAGATGATTTTTGGAAGCCAGTGCAAATTTGGAATCAGGATCGTCATTTGCTCATATGTCGGATGGGTGCTGAAGAGGATGATCGTGAATCACACTTAGTTTCCATTGATTTGGTAAGTGGAAAAAAAAAGAAGAGAATCGATAATATTAATACCCATTCAAGTGAGTGCTTTCTAGCGTTCCGTGAGAGTCTGAAAATGTTTTAGGGATGAAACACACAGTAAGTTGTATTTGCACTTCTACACTGCAAGTATCTATTGATGTGAAGTTTAATAGTAGCTTTCATAGACTCTTATGCGTACACCTTGTATGCACTGCATACAGAGATGCTGAAATTGATCTTTAGACTTTCATTCTCTCAAATTCATAGAATCCATTGATCTACTGTGGTGTTAAAATCCATCAAATCTAGAACAAATTCAATGCCTTGCTCAAAAGTTCATGACTGTACCTGATTTTGGTGAAGAAGATCCAATTTTCAGTTCTTGAGGAAAAAATATTGTTCATGTCAGCTCATTGTATATTAGCAAACATGTGATCATTTTCTTGAATCTCGTGATCGCAAGAGACAGACCTTGTGTGCCCATGGAATCGCCTTTGCAACGCGTGGCTCTATCTCTTGATGTTCACAAGAAGAGCGGTTGCGTTTCAGAGCATAAATTGATGAAGAATTTCTGTCTTGAAACAGAATCTTCTCATAATGAATCATGTATTTTGTCCCAGCACTGTTAGTTTGATTAGAATTGGCATGATTACTGTTATAACACAACTAGTTCTTGCAATGTTACTTGTACTTGTATGAGAAAAGAAACCATTCTTAATGCTTGTTTTTGAAACCATCACATGAACTGATTTCCTTTTTTTCTTTTGGACCTTGTATTAATTTGGAAATCATATTCTTTATTGAATTGTCTGTCTGTGTTTCCAACTTATGCTAGTATTTTAATGCTTTCCTTCTAAGGATGTGAGCAGCGGTCTCAGGACTATCTGAGCGAGATAGTCATAGTGTAATTATGACTTTTAATGGCCTCAAAAGATGTTTGTCTTCTTTGGGCTAACTAAATGTTTGTTTTGATGTCAACGCTTTTAGTTTCTACTTTTCCCTTTTTCACCTTCTTTGAACTCTTTTTCTGTTAGTTGTTTGTTGTTGTGGATATGTTATATGCTGTTATTGCAAAGTTGCCTGCCTTTCTTGATTTGTTTCTGACTAACTGATCGAGCTTCTTAGTGTTTCAGAGAATTCCAGTCCTGAATGTAACTTAGAGCGGTAGTAACATGGGTGAAATTGCTATGCGGATCCGAAAGGGTTATTGAATTACCCTTCTTTTCTCTGGAGAGAACAACAGGGCCCGGGAAGGATGATTTGTGCTTCAATTTTTTTTACCTGGTGAGAACAACAGGGGCACGGAAGGAGGATCTTTGCTTCAACTTTTTTACCTGTTGAACTCCTCCTCTGTTTAGCAAATCTAATGGTTCTGTTATTTTGAATCCATCCAGCTATATTGCATTGGCTTATGTTGGTCATGCACTCCACAACAGAATTTTATAATGTTCTTGCTTTTTCTTTGAAAATGTTTTTATCATTTAATTTGACTGGTTGGTCATGCACTCCACAAAAAATATGACTCAATTAAGGAACTACTAATTGCAGGGCTCATTCTCCCTCCAACAAACTTCCTGCTGATGGATGATGTTTTTGAGGGGCGGGCTGTCGAGACACTAATGGTGGTAGTGATGAGTCACAGTCTCACAGATCGAGTAGCATTATGGCTAACGAACACACTATTAATTAGGTAGGTATGAAATGATATGTGAAGTGTCAGTATGCATTGGCTTCGTAAGTTTGGTGTTGCATTTGTTGTATACAAGCAGAATTTTAATCGTTGGTCTCTTTGTGAACTGTTTAGCTAGCTTCATACTGAAATATATAAATGGGGGCCGGGAAAGAAATATACATGAGAATGAAACAAGGGGTAACTGGAAATGGAACCATGCATGATTTTATCATTACTGTCGAAAATTAATGATAGTTTTAACTATTAGGAAGAGAAATTATTGTTGTAACTCCAAATTCAATATTCCTAAAGTAAACGTTTCTCAGAAAATGTAATAGATCCTAGACTGCATGCATGTTTTTTGATTGAGATTTGCTTTTCTAGCTTGATCACAGGGTGGAATATGATCCAAGTGTTAGAAGCCAGTACAATCAAGGCTTGTGATTCATCCACTGACTGCTCCTATACTCTGCCCGGAAATGACCATAATGAGAGTTTTGCACGCAGCTTTCAAAGTTTGGTATGCAATATAATATATGTCTGTATAAACTGCAATTAAGTTAAAGCAAACTATATATATTCGTTTTTAGGAAATTCGGGTGGTGACTTACACAAAATAACATCAACTAGTAAACCATTCAACATTTATTTATTATTTTCTAAAATCCCAAACATCCAAAGCTTATCTGAAGGTAAAGCTTTTTGGGCAGTATCCTATGATGCCTTTGGTGTTACAGTTGATCATGGCTTTTGCAGCTTGATCAAAGCAGATTCTAACCTCGACGAGGTACTTTTCTTTGCATTGAATTTTGACATTCACATTTAAAGCACGACGGATTGCGTCAAGAATCTGGGTATCCCTGTACTGGCGACCACGAGCAATTCCACCATTTTGTAAAACACGCGTGATATTGTTCCTGTGCAACAGATCCAATGCTTTAGTGAAGTATTGAGGTTGATTGAAGAGGGTAAAGGAAGCCCTGCCATGGTCATTCCACTCGTGTGCCCAAAAACCATCATCAGGTTTGTTTTTTTCAATACTAGGCCAATTTGCAGTGAGTGGATTGAAGAGCGGAGAATTCTTTGGAATCTGCAACATGCATGCGTTATATTATATTGATATTGAAGTAAAATCGTTGAATATAAAATAAAATAAAAATGGTACTTACTGGCTGATATGTTTTTGAATTTCGTCCAGGCCGAAGCTTTGCTCCGGAGTTGGCAAATGGCCATAGACCATGGATGGTGAAATCAGATTTCACCTTACTCTCTTCGCAACGGTCACCAATGGAAGCACAATAGCCTGGGGGCCATATGAGTGCCAAACCAAAGCCATCCCATGGGTTTTTTTGGTAACTCTTGGTTACAAGTAAAAAGAAAATAAGTAAACTTAAAGGAATTTTCATTGTGTGTATGTCTTTTAATTTGCAGATGAGATGTGCTGTGTGTAATGCTAAGCAAGCTCAAGTATTATGTGTGCGTTTATATAGGCTATAAGCCACTGCCTGTCATTTTCTTAGTTGTTAATTATTTCCTATAAATGAATGAATTTGTTTGTTTTACTCCACTGTAATGTCATTCTACATCAGGTAGCTCTAACTGAATTTGTTTTACTTCATTCTTATTTGACTGCATTTGTTTTCATTCATTGAGATTATTTTGCTTTGCTTTGGTGGATCACAGGGTGGAATGTGAAGTGTTAGAAGCACATGTTATTCATCCATTGACTGATCCTATACTCAGCTCATGATCGGGAATGAAATGACCATAATGAAAGCTCGGTATGCAATTAATATAATAATCCGTATTATTATTATTTTGATTCTTGAGCTAAAGGGCTTGTTTTTTTTTTTTTGCAACTTGTGAAAATAATTCATAATGGGTAAGAAATTGAACTGATGCTAATATATATGTAAATTAAATTGATTAAGTTTGTGATTGAATTGGCACAGTTACGTTTTTGGAGCTGAGTGACTAGTGACTAGTGACTAGTTACTAGTTAGTATGCAACAAGACTGTACCCCTTGGCTGGCTCTCATAGTACTAACTACTAAATTCAAAGCCCTTAGCTTGCCTTCCGGCCTGCTCCTATTGCTGCATTCAATTGAGACATTAAAATTAGTTTGACAATTGGGATGGGAAACTTTTGCCAAACTTGTCCTCCTGCAAATTGAGGTTGCATGTCAGAAACTTTGCCAAACTTTTCCGTATTTGTACTATTAATTATTGTAGTTTTATTTTAATGTTAATTTTATTTTCACTAGCTGTTAATTTTAATGTTAATTATTGTTATTTTATTTTTAAACAGAGAAAGAATGAGATTCAACGGCAGCATAGTTCTTTTTTTTTTTTTTTTTTTTTAATTTAATTTTTAAGTTTGCCTATATATATGTTTAGTTTTCATATTTACATATGTTCATTCATATATCTTTATTTAAAAATTATAAATTTATAAATTAAATAAATAAAGAAATAATTAAAATATGGAGATAAAATAATGGGTACACAAAAAGTTGTGAAAAACTTAAAGCTAATGAGAAGAAGAGTTTTTGTAATTGAATGAGATAGTGGATGATGCGATGGATGTTGGGGTCCACAAAAACGGTATTCGGTTCGGTTTTTACTGAACAATTCAGTTAGGTTCGAGTTTTTACCGAACCATTCGGTATACAAGAATCTATTACTGTTCGGTATATTACCGAATCTAACTAGTTTGGTACGGTACGGTTCGAGAAAATCGAACCGAATTGCCGACCCTTAAAGTTAATTACCAAAATTGGTCCCTTGACTATTGCGAATTACCAATTTGGTCCCAAGTTAACGGTTGACTAACCGTCAAACAAACAGAGGACCAAATTGGTTAAGATTTTTAAAGTTGAGGGACTTAATTGGTCAAAAAATATAGTCAAGGACCAAATTGATAATTTTGCTATAGTCAAGGGACCATTTCGGTAATTAACTATTATTATTATTATTATTATTATTATTATTATTATTATTATTATTATTATTATTATATTTTAGAAGACTTAAATATTTTCACATGAAAATATATGACATAATTTCACAACACATGAAATATGTATGAAAAAATTATTACTGTCAAATATCAATATGCACTTTGAATTCGGGTCCACAAAATAATTTGCCAGGCCGAGGAGGGAGATGGGAGTTAATTTTTAAAAATTAAATACCTTCCCCTGCTTTAATTAAGGGTGTGTTTGGTTGGCATATGAGAATCAGTATTGGAATAGGAATTAAATACTTGGTAATTGTAATGAATTTTGGTTAAAGTATTTTGCATGTTTGATAGTAGGGTGAAATTAGAATGATTACTAATATTGTTTTTGGGTTATGTATGATTCTAAAAATAGAAATAAATGTTTTTAAAATACAAGAACAAAAAATCAAGACGATTTATTCTAATATAAGGACATCTAAAGGACTAATAGGAATACAAAAATAAAATAAAAAATCTAAAAGGCTCAAATACTATATCCTAAAGATCTGCTTAAGAAGTCAATGGGACAGTTCAACTGACAAAATGAGCACTCTTGGAAGAATTAACTTAGGGGGGCGTATTCAATCAAGACTTTTAAAGAGTTTCAAAGACTTTTAAAGTGATGGATTTTAAATGACTTTTGTAGAGATTTCGTAGACTTTCCTAGAATCTTTTAAACTTTCATCAACTTTGTAAGAGTCTTTAAAAATCCATAAGACAAACATTTATAGACTTTTAAAAACTTTTTCATATTAAAAAGTCTACAAAAGTCATTAAAATTCTAAATTGAATACACCCTTACAAACATTCCATAACTTCTACTAATACATTATATTTATAATTTTCGTACAAAAATATATTTATATAAACCATAAATAAATTAATGCATTGCAAAAAAATAAAAAATAAATATTGATTGTCACAAAAATAGATTATATTATACATAAAGAAAATAGATTAATCAATTAATATAATCTATTTTCACTAAATATAACCAACAAAAATATTTCTTGTACTAATGAAACAACTAATATTGAGTAATATAATTATCAAAATGTCTAAAATCAAAAAGTACAAATTAAAATATTCATCTTGTTAGTACAATTATCTTTGATTGGAATTGTTTTCACCTTGTTGGGTGTCTCTCCACATATCCAAAGCTATTTTAGCCCTCCATTCATTGGCATGCTCTCGTTGTTGCTCTTGAGTTTCAAACAGATGTTCAAAATTATCTACATCATTCGTTGGTAAAGGTGAAGGAGATTCATCATCATTTAGCTCAATTGGAAACTCATCGCTACGACACTCCTTGCGAAGAAAATTATGAAGCCCGGCACAAGCTAGTACAAGTTCTGCTTGAGTCTTATAAGGGAATGGAGGTGCTGACTTGAAGATCGTAAATTTCGATTTGAATATACAAAATATCCTCTCAATTGCATTCCTCAAAGAAGAATGTCGTAGATTGAATAACTCAACATCATTTTCAGGGTCACGACCTTGTCCGAAAAAATCTTGAAGATGATAACGTACACCTCGATATGGAGCTAAAAATTGCTGTCGGTTTGGAAATCCACAATCCACTAAAAAGTATTTACCTACACACATTTAAAATATTAATTATCCAATATGTAAAGTTATTTAATATTATTTTAAAAAAAAAAAAACTAAACTAAACTGACCTTGTGGTACTTTAAGGCCATTCCTCATTGATAAACTGTCACTTAGCAATTTTGAATCATGTGCTGAACCCTCCCACCCGCTAAGAACATATATGAATTCTAAATCAAAGTTACAAGCAGCCAATACATTTTGTGAAATTATTCCATGACGATTACGATAACTGCTTACATCACGCCCAGTTACCATTGTTGGAATATGTGTGCCATCAATAGCTCCAACACAATCGTAAAGTAAATTCAACACATAAATATGATTTCATATTCACATTTATAAGAATATCTATGACACGCATAAAAAATAGAACAATAATTAATCAAATAGGGTGATTTATTGCTTACCTTAAAGTATGGGTAAAACCTTGTACTTTCTCTTATTCGTGTAGGCACTGTGAAACTAGGTTTGACCATCATCTCAGGTGCTATTGTGTTAAGAGCCTTTAAAACTTTGTTAAAATTCTTACTTGTAGCAAAGTGTGACCGATAAAATGTTTCACGAGTATGGCAATATCTAGAGTTCTGACCAACTGTTAGTAAAAATGTTGCAACCATTTCTTCAACAGTAATGTATCTTGTATCATTTAGAAGTGTTTTCTCTCTTATAATATGACATAACTTTAAAAACACATTTGGATACATTCTGTATACTTGCCGAAAGTTATCAGAATCTTCAGCCAATACGTTTTGTATGTAATTGTATCCACGTGAAGTAATCGGTCGTCGAGCTAGTGGATGTTCAATTCGTTCACCATTATTATCAATAATAACCTCTTTTAATACTTGTATAATCATAGAAATTATTTCCGATAAACGTTGAATGATTTCATAAAACTCTACTTCTTCAATTTCTTCATCTACTTGTTCTTCCTCCACATCAACCATCTCAAAGTCGTCATTGCTATCAATACTAGAGCTTGACATTATATATCAATCACCTAAATGATATTAAATAGTACCTACAAACAAAAGTATTTATATGAAACAATAAAAAATATTTTAAAAAAAAAAAAAAGTAAAGAAAAGAATTTATAGCAAAAAAAAAATAGTAATACTAACAATAATTCTATCAAACTTCATGTAAAAAATCCAACACAAATATTGTTAATGCATGGAACAAAATTTATGAAACTAATAATAGTACTAATAATAATAATACTATGAACTCTCATTTGGACAATTTGAACATTATCCACTTATAGCGATCTTGGGGTGACATATTTATAAATGTATCTTTCTTTGATTTCGTGTTCAGCCATTCCAAAACCTTGAAACAAGTATCACTATCCAAGTCAGGGAGTTCCTTAATAGCATCCCAACAACCACTTTCTTTTTCTCTTTTTTGCACCAGAATATGGATATCAGCCGCAATCGAATCAAGAGTATTAGATAATTTATCTAACACATTAGATCGATTTGTTTCCTCTGTTGAACTACTATTTCCTTCATATTCAGTTCTATTCCTTTTTCTTTTATAATACTTTGTTGAAGTTGCTTCCACATTTATCTCTTGAGGTGCTGATGAAGTATATTGTGATAATTGTGGATCTTGAGAATCTACTTGTATATCATTTTGTGTAAATCCATCGTTAGCAAAATCAAAGTGTAGTTGATCAATTCTACACTGATTATCTTCTTCAACACTATAGATTCTTGCATCAGTTTCATCACCCAATCCGATAGAGTTTTTTCCTACAGCAGTACTACTTCCAAATACAAATGCTAAATCGTCATAGTCAGCAATCGTATCTGTCCGTAGATTTTTATGAGTAGGATGAGACTAGAAAAGGAAAATAAAATAGTTAATAAATTATTTAAAATATAAAATTTAAGAAACATCTATGTTAATTAAACGATATAAAAATCTCACCTTAAAATAATCTTCCCA